TCACATTTTTTTAAGTGATCATTTCTCATTTAGATAGATATTTGGTAGCATTTTAATTCTGGAGAATAAAAAGACTTTTTTTTTGCCGTATAACTTTTGATTGGTAGATGTTACTTTTTATCAACTTCTGAGTTAATTATTTATAGTATCAAGTTGATTTACAATATTTTTATAGCCCGATTAATAAAAGAGAAATTTACATAAATACCACATAATTCTTATGTATTTACATACGTAAAACCTAAACTGCTATCATCTCTCCTTGTTCACATGGAGCAGCAGTTTGCATTTCAATGTAAAGCCCAATTAATTTGGAAGTCGTCGGATTTATTTATTTTTTTTATTATTGTAATAAATATCAAACTAACATTCATCAGAAATTTAAAATATTATTCCTTTATTTTAGACGGTCATATTCTAAATAAAAAACCAAATGCCCATTTCTCAAATTAGTTTTTGAAAACCATCTCCCAAATACTGACAATAGTGTATTGCATCTTATGTTCAAAAAGGAAAGCAAAAGGAACTAACTGTGTTATATTTTTAAATTATGTTCAGCATATATAGGCATTGATTGGTAAGCTCAAAACTGCTCTAAGCAAATCATCACTTCAGACTGCCCTTCAACAGACCAGGAGTTGTATGGCGATTATATTACTATTTAAATCAAAGGTATTAGAAGCCAAACCAGGGCAGCCTGTTTAACCAATTTGTTAGTGAACCGAGCATGTAATCGATCTGATTTGTCTCAAAATTATTTTTCATAGTGAACTGGTGAAAGTTATTGCGAGCCGACGGTTAAACTAGCGAACCAGCCTTAATCATGTAGAACAGACAAGTAATAAAACCTCCTTTTATTGTCCTTAACTCTCAATCAAATAGTTTAAATTTTTCATATGACTTCGTTTTATAAATTATATATTAAATCCAACATATAATTATGAATTTAAGAATGTAAATCTAATATTTAATAAATTTAAACAAATTGTACATATATTTATAAAGAGCAAAATGTATCGCTTTCATAATGTGATAATATTGATATATTAGTTGAAGTGCAAAAATAAGAAAATAAACTTAGCTTCAAAAATATCAAATGGACTTCAAAATATATCAAATTTTAAATTTATAATCTCTAAAGCTAGTATTATGTTCAAAATATATTTATTTTTAACGCATTATTACATATTTATATAATTAAGTCACTTGGTTACATTAAAATAATTTCAATATTTATTAAATTACCCGATTCAACCTGAGTTCAACATTTAAAATGTTAAATCTCTCAGTTTTTCATTTCAATAGCTTGTCCAATTTTCACAAACATGATCAAATCACCATTTCTTCTACATACTGAAAAATACATAGAAAGCATTCCCAAAAGCTAATGCCGGATGTCTGCCGCTATGCGATCCAGAACAGTGTGGCCGCATCCGGACCGTTATTTGGACATACAAGAGTCATCCACACCTAATATTTTTTTCGTCATCAACACCCTATCGTCAATCTTTTTTCTTTTCAAGTTAAAATTTTGACAAAATTCGAGAAGCTCAATGAATCATTGCCCTGATGTTGCAAAAAAAGAACTTAAAAATGAGCACAAGGGTTTGCGTGAACACCTAAAAATGAATAAAAACATGAGCATGTCATTAAAATAAATGCTTAAAAATATGGACTTACGTGAAATTTCTGCAGCTTGTATTCATCAATGGAGGACCGAAATAAGAATCAGGCCTGAACTGTAGGAGAGATTCAAAGCCTCCATCTTCTTCTCTATAGAGGCTGCAATCCAAGAATAGCAAACGAATGCCGAAAAATTGCCTCCTGAATGCTCAGAATATATAAAAGTCAAACCAACCATATAGATTTCTGTCAGGCCTAGATGATGAATAAACAGATAAATCAGACCAAGTCAACCAATACATTAAATGAAGATTTACATACATACCACTCAATTCCTATGTATTTACATATCAAAAACCTAAGCTTCAATTTTTACATACATGACACCTTACCTATGCATGAAAAGGTGTATTTCACTTTCTAAAAGTTAAAATGGTGGTATTTTTCTATGTGATATAAAAGATTTTGGTGGTATAAATGTAAAAAAGTAGAAGTTTAGGCGTTAGATGTCCAATACATAAGAATTGGGTGGCATATATGTAAATGCCCCTACATTAAAATAGAACACAATAATAACAGGAGATCAGAGGAGACTTCTAATGATTATTAAAATTGAACAAAGATCAATGGCACATGATAACATAAATCCATTTAATGAAATGCGAAGTAGAATTTGATTGATTATAATTTTATAAAACAATTTGCATTTTAATGAAAACATGTTTATTTGGATTTTGAGGCAGAAAAAAATAATTTTAGCAATGATTTTCAAATACATATGATTAGGGCTGCCAAACAAGCTCGTTGTTTGCAAACAACTCTTATTCAGCTCGTTCAATAGCTCGTGTTCAAATCTAACATGGATAAATAATTAAAGTATTTGCTCATTAAAATTCACTTTCATTTCATTAATAACGTGCTTATATAAAGTCTTATAAGTTACAATATTTATAAATAAATCTCAAATAGAACCCTACATTAGATACAAATCCCAACACTCCCCCTCAAAATGGGCAAAAAGATATTCCCTAAGCCCGAATCCCAACACTCCCCCTCAAAATGGGCAAAAAGATTTCCCTAAGCCCATCTTGTCACATAACCTAGACAAATCTAATGAGTCAAGTCCTTTGATGAGGCAGTCAACCACATGCTCTCTAATGGCTACATGACTTAGCTCTAGTAGTCTGTTATTTTGCTTTTCCTTGATGAAGAACCTATCAATAAAAACTTGTTGTCACACCACAGCTTCATTTGAGTTCTCTGATCCATTTTGAGTTCAATAAACAAGGCTTTTAGTCACATCATCTCAACAACTCCTAATATCACGGCTTTGTACTTTGCCTCTGTTGTTGACCTCGCTACTACAAATTGTTTCTTGCTATTTCAAGAGACCAAGATGCCACCTATGAACATGCAAATCCTGAGGTGGAATTCTTGACATCTGCACAACTCGCCCAGCCAGCATCACAATAGCCCTCAATGTATACGTGGCCGTCCTTCTTGAAGATCAACCCCTTCCCTGATGCACTCTTCAAGTACCTTAGAATCTGATACATTGCATCTATATGACCCTTGGATCATGCATATAGTGGCTCACCACGCTCACAGCAAAAGATGTCGGGACGTGTGTGACTCAGATAGATACAACCTACTAATCTCTAGTATTTCTCATGATCAACTGGCTCTCTTGCCTCTGCAATCAGCGTGGTCTTTTGATCAACTGGAGAGACTACAGACTTGCATCCCGACATATATGTTTCTTTGAGAAGATTTAGTACATACTTTCTTTGAGATAAGACAATCTCCTCTAACCCACGAGATACCTCAACCCCAAGGGAGCATTTGAGTTGTCCAAGGTCCTTCGCCTCAAAATTTTTGCCCAATCTAAGCTTTTGTTGAACAATCTTTGTCTCATCATTACCAGTGATAATCATATCATCAACATACACGACAAGCATAGTGATGTGACCACCATTTTGAAGAAAGAAGACCGTATGGTCAACATCGATCTGTTGATATCTCATACCCGACCATAATTTTCTAAGCTTGTCAAAAATCAGGCTTGAGAAAATTGCTTCAAGCCATAAAGTGATTTCTTAAGCCTGCACACCTTGTTCACTGACTGACATGTACTGAATCATGTTGGTATGTCCATATACTCTTCCTCCAATAACTTACCATGAAGAAAAGAATTCTTCATATCGATTTGGTGTAACCTCCACCTACCATTCACAGCTAGAGAAATCAATGTCCTCACAATGCTCATCTTTGCGATTGGTGTAAAGATTTCATCGTAGTCAATGTCATACGTCTAATTGTACCCTTTTGCCACTACTCATGCTCTGTACCTCTCCACTCTCCCTTTTGAAGTTTGTTTTACCATGAATATCCACTTGCATCTAATTATCTTCTTCCCTGTTGATATTGGTACAATCTCGCATGTTCAGCTTTTTTCAAGAGTGCCAAGCTCTTCATGCATCGCCGCTTTGCACTTAGAATCCTCTTCAGCAACCTGCCAATACTTGGGTATAGAGACAAAGACCAATGATGCAATGAATGCTCCATGCAAAGGTAAGATGTTAGAATAAGAAATAAAGTTCACAATGCCAAGTTCCCACCCAAAACGATCAGGAGAATGTCCCGCATTGCTGCAGGAGGTCTTCCTTAATGTTGGGGTGAAAGAGGACGGAGTAGGAATGATCTCACCTGAGAATTTTGAATCAAAGGTGCATTGTGTAGGTGTCTCAAGAGTTATATATGACTGAGACAAGGGACTTGTTGGCATTGCAAACTCTGTTCCCTCAGTTTGTTTCTTCCTCTGTGTATACATCCTTAACTCATCTTCAGCTTGAATCCCACCACCACTAGGGTCAATCACCTTAATTTCAGTTTTCTTGGTGATTCATCCCACATCACAAGACATGTCATTGCCCTCACTTACACCACTACTACTCACTCTCTTCTCTCATATCTCTAGTGTTTGCGGAGTCACCGAAGGGTGAATTCACCTCTAGAGTGTAGTATGGTTCAAACCCTCTGAATGACACATCCATACTCATAAAGAATCTCTTCTTAATCGGATTCCAGCAGACAACCCTTCTGAGTAACAAAATAACCCACGCACACACATTTCACAACTCTGCGATCTAACTTCCCTACAAATGACATGTCTTTCACAAAGCACACATCCAAATACCTTCAATGAAAGGATCCCACTATTGTCTCCATTCAACATCTGATAAAAAAACTTCCACTCGAGCACTCTTGAGAGCATCCTATTAATCAATTGAGCAGCTGTCAATATTGTTTTCATTGTTTTCCCCCATAAGTATTGTGGGACGTTCAATGTCATCATCATGATCCGGGCTACCTCTAGAAGATGTCGATTCCTCCTCTCTGCTAGTACATTCTGTACTGGTGTGCATGGGCATGTGATTTGGTGTTGTATTCCTTGAATTGACAGATAGTTCCTAAATATTTTGTTGATATATTATGTCTCATTATCAAATCTCAATGCCTCACAACTGCACCATATTGGGTCTAGATTTCCTTGTGAAATTTTTAAAGGAAGCAACCATCTCCCTCTTCTGTTTCATCAAGTATATGAAGATAATACAAGAAAAACAATCAATAAACGTAATAAAATACCGATAACTATTCATAAAACTAGTAGGATAAGATCCCCATACATCAAAATATATTAAATCAAACACACTAGAGCTCCTAGTGAGCTTGCCAAACTCACAAGCATCACACAAGTTTCTCCTTATTTATCTTTTCATATATAGATGGATACAACCGACTAAGTAAACTAAGACTAAAATGTCACATATGTTTGTGATGTAGCAGTAACGCATCTTTGACGTTTCTCTCAGATTCTTCTACTCCAGCACTTTCCACCATGGATATCAGAGCTTAGTTCATCCCCTCTCGATCTAAGTACCAGAGTACACTATGCCACGTTCCAGTCCCCAATGTCTGGCCCATCCCTTTCTTTTGGAAGATCACCTGAGGAATATAAAAAAAACAATGCATTTTAACTTGAGCATAATGACATTAATGGATAAGAAGTTTACTGGAAAAAGAGCATGCAAAACATTGGTACATCTTAATGTACCCTTACCAACTATAGGCTCCGTTGTACCATCAGCAGTATTTATACTCTCTGATACTGCTAGATGAGCATATGAAGAGAACTCTCCAACGGTACCTGTCACGTGATGAGAAACACCAGAATTTATAATCCATTCTGATGATTTTTTGGTGGAAATAAAGACGAGCAAGTGTCACCGGTACCTTTGCTGAAGTGCGCATAAGTGGCAATATTACCCGTCGATGTCAATCGCTTTCAAACATCATCAGCTTCATCTCCTGTTGCTTTTTGTTTCCTCTTTAACAGCTCCAGACATACAAGATCCACTAGTAAAGATCACACATGTCTTTCCCTCCTCCTCTATTACCATCAGATTTGCTCAGTAGCCCCCTCATCCACCTTTTCGAACCCCACGATTACGACCACAACCTTCACCTTGTCCACACCCACCTGTCTCTCTCTCTTTAGGTGGCTTAAGACTGATCGTGCTCAGATGGGCAACTTCATCACAATTGAAGCACTTGTGAATCTCCCCCTGGACACCTCGCATACCTGAACTTGCAGCAGCCAATGCTGATCGTGCACCCAAAAAACCACCCGGCTCAGAGTGTGGTTTCATGCAACTCTCCTCTTGTATCATCGTAGCAATGGCCTCATCTAGTGTAGAAATAGTCGCCTGAGCTAGGAGAACCGATCTCCTCTGATCAAAGAACGTGTTTAGATGAGCCAGAAACTGCATGGTCCTCATCTACACAAAGATCTCTCCCGTCTTACATCTTAGATCACCACAGCTCGACATAGATGAGAAGTGATCAAGATCTTGCCACAACCGCTTCAAGTCTATAGAGTACTTGTAAATCGATATATCATCTTGAACCACTCCCTTTATCTCACGTTGGTCCAACATAGATCTTCTTAAGCTTCGCCCAAATGTCGTTCACCTTTCAAATGTCATCCATTGATGAAGTAATCGATAAAACAATCAAGTTGAGTAGCCGGGTGTAAAACAAGGCATATGTGGTCCTCCACTCATCCCTCTCAACACTGTCACATTTGCTCCACCCCCGTCATGTATTCTTCCAGTCTCTTCCCAAAGTAGCCTCGATCCAACGCAATCAATTCAGATATGAGACGGACCATATAAGGAGATAGTGGCTCTCGTTGAGATGCTAGCTCTCTATATGAGCCCGACCATAATATGAGATGTCTCCTAACATCCTCAATCACAACCTCAACACAAGAATAAATTTAGAATATGCATAACACATGCAACTTCCTTCCTGCAAATTCTTTCGATCCACTTTGCCTTTACCCGCACAAAGTAATAACCTCTTTGTCTCGCATGCAAAACTGCAACCACTATGTCGTGCGAAGCAGGAAGAAGTCTCTGTAAGTGGGCGATTCTTCCCTCCACACGTACTTGTTTTAGTGCTCGTCTGCTTGTCCTCACACTCTTCACACTGCGTCACTATCTTCCCCACCTCTGCTCCTGAAGCTATCCGACTTCGTGTGAGGGCCCTTTTGCTGCCGCGTTTGCCCGCCTGCGTCCTCATTCTTCGAGCCATGCTTTTGTCGTGTTCTCGCTCTCTATTGAATCTCCCTTCGCTGCAATGCAAGCCACGCATAATCTAACCACGCAATCCCATCCCAGACCAACTGTGCAATCCTGACTCCTCGCGAACATTCACGCACGATCCTGTCCAGGTAACTTCGCCATGGCCTATCGAACACAACAACGGCAGCAAGGGTTAAGACTGAGGCACTGATACCAATTTGAAGTATTTGGTCATTAAAATTCACTTCACTTTATTGATAACGGACTTATATAGAAACTTACAAGTTACAACATTCACAAATAAATTTTCAGACTTCATTTATTTATAAATAAAATCCTACATTAGATACAAATCTCAACATAAATTTTTTAAGCTCGAATTATAAACGAGTTGAGCGTGAACAACCCTCAAAGTTCAGATATGAAAAACTTAAGAATACAACATTATCAGGAAAGATGACTTTTTGGAAGCTAAACCCCTAGGTTGATAATTTCTTTATGCATCTTTTTTGTGTTTTTTAAAGAGCTAAAGACGAGAACCTTTGATTTACAAAATATAAAGTATCTATACAAAAAATTTTAAGGCTGGTGTCCTTCATAAGAAGATGTGGACTCCAATAATATTTCAATAAAATTAAGAATGATTGATTACAAACCAATATATGCAATTGTAAGAAGTTCAAAATTATTTAATCATCAATTAAAGACACTGAGCAACCACAAACATAGTACCCGAAAAGTAACTTTTTACAAATCTAGCACTATCTTTCATCCAATTTTCAAATTCTCACTCAAATATCAAAATTCATGATAAAACCACAATCATATTTTTCATTTTTTCAAATTCTCAATGGTTTGATCGTGCATACATAAATATATCAGTCAGTAGCTCAAAAAATTACCCTGTTGCAAGATTTTGTAAACAACAATGTTTCAGGTGCTATGTATGTAATTATCCCTAAAATCTCATAATGGATCAAATTTATGAATTGCTAATGCAATTTGCATATAGAAGATGATTTTAATTATTTAAATGCACGAGCAAAACTAAAATTAAAAAATTGTTTTCATGTACCATCCAATCATCTTCGTATTTTCACAAGCTTCATAAATAATTAAATCATCATGAAAACTGATGAAACTCAATTCACATAAAATTCTCTTATTTTAGATCATAATCATCAGTATAATATTTAATTTGAAGATTATATGATTGTGATGCAAACAATGGCCTTATTCATCTCTTCAAACTTATGTATACCCAAGCCAAGAATTATGTTTGAACTGAAGTACCAATCCAAGAATGCAAACAAGATGGAAGACAGATTTTCTTTGCAGTTGTAGTTTAAAAGTTGTGCAACTTTAGTCACTTGTCGATCGTCTAATTTGTCATTCATCATTCCTAAGAACACAACATCCCACATCATGCTTGCTTGGTTACGTCAAACAAAGCTTATAGGATGAAGTCATCTTTGCCTATTCTGATTTCTTTCTACGTTTAAAATGTCAAAATAATCACCTTATTATTTATATATGGTCAGTTTAGTCCTAAAGTCCATAAAAGTGTCAAATTAGTTGCCATATTCTTTTAATTGTGAACAAAATAGTCATTTCCTCAGACTATTTAAGCCCATATTAAAAAAAATATGAGGATTAAATTAATATTTTTTTATAAAATTCAGGAGTGAAATGGCTCCTTAGAAAGAGTCAGGAATCATTTTGTCACTTTTCTCTTTCTACAACTCATTCTAATGCTTTTGTATAACTAATTTCTAGATGTGCAAGTTCAATTTTATACATGTTTTTATACACCAAAAATATCTGAAAGTTGGTTAAAAAAAAGAACATATATGTACAGCTAAAGCCATGAATTAACACTTATAAGATCGTCAAATGAAAAGTTTTGGTAGGAGTGCTGGCAAATTATAAAAGAGAGCAAGCGAACAAAGAAATTTATTTGCAGGATTTATAAATTAAAACTCATAAGCTACCTGATTCAATTTTTGAGGGTTGATACACTAAATTTCAGCTTGGGGAACTTTTGAGACGGCCAAAGCTGCAAGTCTGCATATAGTATCGAAATCCTTTTGCTTCATTGCATTTTTATCAAATATAGCATCTGACAATACCACTGCGGACGTCCCGGCATCTATATATTGCTTTATTGAGTCTGCATCAAAGTGGAGCAATGATACTGGTGAGAACATATGCTTACATCAGTTTTAATATCTAGAAAATAAAAAAAGGTAACATCTCAAAAAATTTTGAACTGACATTTGCTCACTCCCTTATCTCTCAGTCTCTTCTAACTCAATGCATATTAACCAGGTAATTTTTTGGGTTCGTGTAGCCCATGGGTGTAAGAAAAAATTCCTTATTCAAGCTGAAACACCAATGAATTAAGTACAAGCATCATGTAAAAAGCACAAACCTGGAAAAATAAACTCCTGATGCTCTTCAACTCAGCAATTCAAAATAGTGCTAGTGAAATTTCGAAGCTATTTTAATGTACTGATTTTTTCTTGATGATCAAATGTGTCCGCTTAACGTATCAAACAGTAATTTGTTCTTCAATTTCATTTACTTTTCATAGGACAAAGCTTAGAAGAAGCTTGCAATTAATAATTTTCATTTCCAGGAAGAAAAAGAATGTAAGCTTTTGATATATTTTGCACATGCATGCACTTAAGCTAAAAAAATAAAATAAAATTACATGAACTGATTCTAATAAAGTTTATGTTTAGCAAATGGCCAATAAACGTAATAAATAATTTTTTTACTTGAGTATAATGCTTTTTATTTGAACAGAAGTACCCATATGATAAAAAAAATAAATCATGGATTAATTTTTTTTTTTTTCGTGCATTCACTTAAAACTCATGTGAAATATTAATTAGTTACTAGTAAATATTCCAATTAAAATATTGGCAATATACAATGATCAAAACGATTCATATCATGATATTTTCGACAAGTTTATGTAGGTTGTCGACTACCTAACGCAATTCTCCACTTTTCATATCCGAGCTTGGGACCGACAATGTAAAAAAAAAAATTAATTACACCTAAATCAAAGTTGCAAATCTCATATTTTAAATATTTATCCTTTCCTTATTTTATATATTATTATTATCATTATTATCATTATTATTATTATTATTATTATTATTTCACTTTGCCCGCTTATGCCATATGCAGCACTTTATAATGATGACTTTTTCATATAAAAATACAAGGCCCATCTCCATTCTAATATACAACTATTAATTTATACATGCTAATATTTTTTTATTTCATTCGTCATTGAAAGTGTGACATGATATTTAGGATAGTAATTCAATTAAGGTAAGACGAGAGAATAACTATGTGATGATATTTATACACATCCATAAATTTACATAGATCAAGTATTCCACTAAACTTAAAAAAAAAAAAGTATTGAGTACGCTTAACAAATAAAAAATTAAAGATAGTGGAATCACTTTATCTATGTCAATAACTAAAGGGAAACAACCAATAACTACAAAAATAATGGTAGAACATGGACAGAAAAACATTGTTGTTGTTACTACTATCTACCCATTTTGAAGTTGGATACAATAATTTTCAAAGCTTTTTACATAGTAACAATGATTAGAATTGCATATGTGTGGTGCGGGGCAATTGCTTTAACCCATAAATGTTTTTGTAGAGTTTGTGACCATATTTTCTTATTTTTACACAACAAAATACTTCAGGTTGAACCATGTAGATATCTTCCTTTAGATCACTATGGAGAAAAGGAGTTTTAATATTGTATAGTTGTCCGTATAACCTTAAATCAATATATTCAATCCATTGAAAACCCTTCAGTACCAACTTCTCTATTATATATCTTTTGATGTTATTATACTCCTACTTAATTTTATAAAATTATAATTTGATATATTTTTTATTTAGATAGCTTAATTGATGTTCATGTGTTATTTTCTAAAAAGAATTTATCTCCTCTTTTATCTCTTACAGCTTCTTCAATGCAATGGGGTTCCTTTGCATCAATGAATAACAAATAATCTAGATAAAAAGAATAATGGTTAATAAGCTTTGAAATCTCTGTGAACACTTGATTTTAACCACAAAAGTGCTAGGTCGAAACAATTTGATCATTTTCGAGTCTCCTATGTCATATCAATTTAAGTGACTTTTTAATAGATAAAATTTGATCACCTCAAGTTGCTTTTCTCCGTCTCTGTTTTTTTTAAGTAACTTTAATGCTTGTGATTACTTCTTTTTTCATTCATTGTCTCAATCAAAATCCATAGCCAAAGTCATCAATACCATAGCCAACAATATAACATTTCTTTGATTTTAGGACAAGCTTATCTCTTACATTATTATTAATGTGTACACAAGAAAGGAACACAAAAATGTTTCAAATGTAAGAGACATACATTCTTTTAAGTACATAGTTCAAAGTGCCCAAAATCAAGAGCTACATATGGGCACTGATAAATAAAAATATGCTATCACATTTACTTCATTAACCCAAAATATTTTTGGCAATCCTGCATTTAATTTCAAGCTTTTAGATTTTTCATTGAACACTTTATTCATACTTGCAACAACTTGATACTGTTAAAGAGTTTTTAAGACCATTGTAATAGCTAAATTTTTAACAAAAGAATAAAAGTATAAAAGTATTAAATAATAATAATATTATTATTATTACTGAATCTAACCATTAGGATGATTCGCCAAATCAAGTGAAGTCGAGAGGGGGAGGGAAGAAGAATAAGGACAAGTCGAAGTCAAAGTTCTCGAAGGAAATCTTTGTTCCCTAGTCAAACGGCTTTGCCAGTCTTCATACATGCAGAGGAAAAGGAGGAAGGAGTGCGTGTGCGGCCATACGAACAGTAGAAGAAGAGAAATATACACAGAGGAAGTAGAAGAAATGTATTCTAATCATATATATTAAATATTTCTATTACAAGCAGTATTTATAAGCCACTATAGTGGAAAATTGGTAAATAACCCTTGAGGGTAAATATGTTAAAATGTATACAAAGTTTTAATCTATAAACTAATGTTAAATAGTTGCCAAGAATTCCTTTGGCAGGTAGCAACGAGGTAAAGCTAGGGCACGATAGAGTAGTAAAGATGAGATGAAGCAGAGCTGCAAAGGAGAGGCAATTGTCGGGCGTAGCTTAACATAAACACAGATGAGTTCCAACACCCCTTGTCAAGTTAAGAATCTAAAGAGGTGATGATTAACTTGCTAGTGAGCACATGATGTCTTGTACAATTTAGGGTTTTTTGTGAAGATATTTGCTGGTTGATCTTGCGACAAGATATGATGTAACATGATATGCTTGAGTTTGATGTGATCTCGTATTAAGTGGTAATCAACTTTGATGTGCTTTGTTCTGGAGTGAAAGATTAGATTGTGAGCGAATGCTATTGCAAACGTGTTGTCTGTAGGTTGACCGGAGAGGAAGGACACCTTGTAAGTTCTTCGAGTAGCCTTTGTGGCCATAATATTTTGGTTGTAGTAGTAGCAAGAGTACGATACTCAACTTCTGTTGAGGATCTAGTGATATATATTGTTTCTTGGAGGACCACGAAATGAGGTTGGAACCCAGATAAATAAGTAACCTGTGGTAGAATTTCTGTCTTTGATATCACTCGTCCAATCTGCGTCGACAAATACGAATAAAGAGAGTGACCCACTAATGATGGGTAACCCGTAGTTTGGTGTGCCTTTAAGATAGGGTAGTAGTCGTTGAAGTAATTGAAAATGATCAATGTTAGGTTAGTGCATATATTGACTTAAAAAATTTACAGTGAAAGTGATATTGGGTCATGTTACAGTAAAATTTTGTAAGATACCTATTAGTGGAAGATTTGAAAGGTTGGAGTATTAGAGGTGTCAAAACGAATTTTGATTGCATCATCTTGCTTTATTTAACAAATCAGATAAGTATTTGATTTGATGTAAAAAATAGCCTTTAACGATTTTGTCTATTTACAGGCCTAAAATTTCCTAACTTATTTATCAAATTGTTTATTTCAGTTGATGAATTTCCTGTAATTATGATATCATCAAAGTAAATAAGTAAATAGATTCTAGTCTATGATGTTAAATGGGCAGAGAGTGGTTAGAAGTGCTTAATTTAAATTTTTGAGTATACAAGAAGATGTGAAATGTGGAATATCATTGACATGGTGCTTGTTTAAGACCATAGATAGCTTTATTTAACTCACATATATGGTATGCATGATTGGTGTTTTGAAACCAAGGTGGTTGTTACATATATATAGTATAATCCAACTTTCTATGTAAGAAAGCGTTTGATACACCTAGTTGGGTGATGTTCCAGTTTTCGGCTGTGGCTAAGGTGACGAGCATGGGAATAGTTAAGAAGTTTGCAATAGGGCTAAAAGTTTCATGAAAATCAATACCTGGTTGATATTTAAATCCTTGAGCGATCAATCATGCTTCATGACGAGCAACAGTTCCATTAGTGTGATACTTGAACCTGAAAGTCCATTTGCAGCCAAGAATATTGTAATTGGAAGTGGGGGGAACAAGGGTCCATGTCTCTTGTTGTTGAAGTGCCAAAAATTCATCAAACATGGCCTTGCACCACGTGAGGTTTTGCATGGCTTGTTTGAAAGTGAGAAGTGAATTAGAGGTGGTGTGATGTAAAAGAGAGAAGATTTTGGTGCGTTTAATTGTACATGTTTGTGTGCGAGTGATCATGTGATGAGTTTTGATGAGTGGAAGATTTGGAGAAGGGATTGAAGCTTGGTTGATTGAGGAAGGAGGAATGTTGAGTGTTGTTGTGTGACGCAAAGGCAATAGGATATGTAGATTGAGGTGAGTTGGATGTTGGGGGAGGTAAGTTTCGATGTGAGGGTGAAGAGATGGAGGTATTTGAAGTGGGTAGAGTAGAAACAGGTATCAAAAAAGAGGAAGGTTGAGTGGTAGAAGGAGATGAGTGTGTTGAAGAAGATTATTTTTTCTTGAAAAGGAAAGTATAATTCATTAAATGTAAAATGTTGAGATGTGATTAAACACTCTTGTTGAATATTATAGCATTGATAGCCTTTGTGATGGTGATTGTAACCCAAGAAAACACAGAGTGGGGCTTTTAGATGAAATTTATTGCTCAAGGAGGGTGGGCACCAAGGAAAACAAGCACAACCGAAGGTTTTCAATATATAATATTAAGGGGGAGTGTTATGTAACAGTTGAAAAGGAGATATATTGTAAATATTTGGAGATGGCATACGGTTGATAAGAAAAATAGCCGTGTGAGCTGCAGCCATCCAGAATTTTTGTGGTAGGAAGGCTGTATTACTCAATGTTCGAGTAGTTTCAATTAGGTGCCTAGTTTTGTGTTCAGCTAGCCCATTTTGGTCAAGAGTGTAGAGGAAACTGATTTATAGTGAATATTGTTATTTTGCAAGTATGTTTGTAAGTAATGTGACTTATATTCACTACCTCCATCAGCTCTTAATATTTTAATTGTTTTGTTATGCTGATTTTGTATTTGTTTATACAGATTAATGAAACACATGGAAATTTCAGCTTTGGAGTATAAAGCAAAACACCAATAGTAGCGAGAATGATCAGCTATAAAAGTGACATAATAAGTAGAACCATCAATAGAGGGTAGTGACAATGGACCCCATACATCTGAATGAGTTAATTCAAAAGAGGCAACATGATTAGTTTGACCAAAAAAAGGCAATTTATGACATTTATTTCTAAGGCATGCATTACAAGGCAAAATAGTGTTGGTAATTTAATGTTGTGGTTGTTGTGTTGCTATGGTGCGAGAAACTTTAGGATGTGAATGTCCTAACCGATTATGCCATGTCAAGGGTGAGAGAGTGGCGGTGAGGGCAGCGAGAGGATATAAACCTTTATGAGTTTGATCACTGAGAAGTGATTTCTTTGTATGCAGGTCCTGTATCAAAAAAATCATTAGGAGTAAAAGTGATAGAATAGTGATTATCGTTAACAAGTTTGGATATAGAGATTAATTTATGAGTACTATGGCACACTCTGAGAATAAAAGAGAGGTGAAGCTTACGATCGGGTGTGGCAAGGATACCATTTCCAATATGTGATACGTCAGTTGCTTGACCATTTCCTACCATGACCTGATATGGGCCATTGTAAGGATGAGGTTTCTGGATGTTGTCCAGATGTGGGGTGATATGTGTGGTAGCTCCTGTATCGAGGATCTAACCTTGATTCTTGGAGCTGGTTGAGGTATTGAGAGCTGTTGTGAAATTTGGTTTGTACTGTAGTTTGGTACGATGCCAACATTGGTCAGCTGAGTGCCCTTTCTTGTGACAAATTTGGCAAATGGTGATGTTTTTTGTGTTGTTGGGTGTTGGTGTGTGTGATATTTTTATTATTGTGTTGGGTCTTGATGGGAGTTCATGACCTAAGCAGGAGTTTTTATTCTTGAAAGAGAGGACTCTAGTGGTTGGATTTGATTTTAAAGATTCATTAGAAATGTGACTTTCTTCAATTTGAAAAAGGGAATAAAAGTCTTCAAGGGCTAAAGGTGTTGTTTGTGTTCTAATGGCAGTTTCGCAACCTTGATAAGAGGAAGGTAGGCCGTTTAATGTGTATAGAATGATATTTTCATTATCAATTCTTGATCCAGAAGTGGCTATATTTTCAACGAGTTTTTTGATAGAAGTAAGATTTTGGTTCATGGTTGACTACCCATGTAAATATTAGGTAAGTCATTCTTAAGTTGAATTATTCTTAAACGATTTGAGGATTGAAATCATCATTTAATTGTAATCCAAATGTCCGCTATGTGAGTTAGGTGAAGTACATAAGGTAAAATGCAGGGAAAGATAGTGGAAAGAAGGGCGGCGGTCAGGTTTTAGTCTACAGTTTTCCAAAGAAGGTAATCAGAATTTTCAGTGGAGTAACCTGTGGAATCTTGTTGATATTGTGGGGGGGGTGGAATGGTGTTATCAATAAAAGAACTGAAACCATTAGCAAGAAGTAATTTTTGTATTTGAAGCTTCCACATAGCAGTGTTTGAATAGTAGAGAAGAATGTGTGGCACCTTTTATATGTTGCATCAAGAATTTGAGAGGGGGAGGTATGTGGGTTTCCTTGATTCTGTTGAGTGATTGAGATGTGGGCTGGTGGAGGATGAAGACTCCATGGATCTTGAGGCTGCAGAGGCCAACTGTTTTGAAATCATATATCAACAACAGAAGAGGAGAAATATACGCGGAGGAAGTAGAAGAAATGTATTCTAATCATATATATTAAATGTCTCTGTTACAAGCAGTATTTATAAGCCACTATGGTGGCAAACTGATAAATAACCTTGAGGGTAAACAAGTCAAAATGTATACAAAGTTTTAATATATAAACTAATGTCAGTTGCCAAGAATTTCTTCGACAGGTAGCAACGAGGTAAAGCTAGGGCACGACAGAGGAGTAAAGATGAGGTGGAGCAGAGCTGCAACGGAGAGGCGATCATCAGGTGTAGCTTCGCATAAACACAAATGAGTTCTAATAGCGGCTCTCGATCAAACTGGGAGACGAAGCCTCTGCGTTCGTTGAATTTGTCGAGAACGAAGGAGAAGAAACAGGTGCGCGCAGAGGAAGAGGATGAAGAAGAAGATTCGAACCTTGCGTGCTCTGTTGAGTTTCGCCGAGCCGCGACCAAAGGAGAAGCGGAAGGCGAGTCGAGCTTCTGCGGCGCTCGCGTGCGGGAAGATTACGAGAAGTCACTCAGTTGACAACTCACAAATAATCCAAAAATAATTTTAATGATCGTGAAATAATATTGTGGAGATTATTTCAGGGTTAATTCGTGATTATTGAAGTGAAATATATATTTTTCTTTTCAATAACCCAAAAATAACTCTGAAATAATCTCTATGGTGTTATTTCGATGCGGTTATTTTGGGATTTGTAACTACAGATGTTATTTCGAGGTTATTTAAAAATTATTGTGAAGTTTGCGGTTTCACTTTAATATTTTTTAGATGGACCAAATATAGCACACATGATGGTATATTACTGAGAGTATGCATGTAGAGCTACGTCTGAAATCTGGACAGAAAACTTTCCTGAGTTTAGACCGAAATTAGAAGGTTTAAGGGAGAAGAATCATCAAATGTGAGTTCGGGCTAGGCAAACATGAGAAAGGTAAGTTTTATAAGTGGTTATAAATAATTACGTTGTTTAATTATATAGATAAATATGTTTACTACTTAAATGTTAAATTTATTTTATGTTATATTAGGCTTGAAACTAATAAATTAATAAACTTTAGGCAAATAGGCGACCCAAAATTCATGTGAGGGAAGTGGAAGAGTTGCAGACAACCAACAAATTCCAAGGTATATTAGGGTTTTTATTAAGTTATTTAATGCATTTGTGGTGTGTTTGTGAGTGTTTAAATGTAAAGTCAAATTTAATCAGGACTCTAGCTCAGAGATTTTGACTTTGAATGAGACAGTTTTGAAGCAAACATGGGGGAAGATCAGTCTTAAAGACTATAAGGTAAATGTTAAGTCTTATATTATTATTGAAATTAATAAGATAACCAGTTAAATTAATATTATTAAACTTTATTAACGTAAGGAAGTGATGAAAAGGGCCAATAAAATCCTTTGGAATTGAGGAAGAATACATATAATTTTAAAAGAAAAGGTTGTTTTAAAGTTTAATCTACTTAATTTGGAATTGATATTTAATAAAATATTGATGTTTAATTGCAATATAGGTTGAAGAACATTTAAACCTAGAAGGTCAGTGATTTGAAAATCGGTGTGGCAAGCAAGTTATGTATGACATGTGATTATTTTTTTTATGCATTAAATTAATATTTTATTAAATGAATAAATTGTTTATTAAATGGTTAAAAATAAGTATTTCATTAATGTCTGTCATTTTAAAAGTCTTATATGATATCACAATTGCGAGAAAATAATTGACATGTGAATGTACATTTTAAATAATTTTAATTGATATGAAATGTTAGGTAAGGATTAAGTCATATAGAATTACTCTCAGATGGTACTGATAAGGGATGCAATGTACATGTGATATTAAAGAAAATGATAAATGTGCACATTCGGGTATAATTTAAGAGTATATTTACATACAATTTTAAGAGTACCTTCAGGTATAGTTTTGAGGATATCTTCAGTTATAACGACAATCCTGTGATAACTATTAAATATGTTAAAATGATAAATACTAAAAGTGAAATGAGAAGAAATAAAATTAAAGTGAAAGTTCAAGATTTTATAAGAATATGGGATGTATTACCTTTTGGTCATTCATGCATAGCATAAGAATCATAATTTAATGCATATTAAAACATAATTACTCATTAAGTCATACTTATAGTTGTAATTAATATTTTTTTTCAGGAGAAGAAAAAATTTTAGGTTGATATGTCTAATATGAATAATTTGATTTACAGGATGAAGCTTGTAGCTGATAGGAACTACTTTGAAATTTGACTTTAGTTTTCTTTTGTTTACTTCTATTTAATGTTTACAGATAATGTTGTTGTTTCTGGATGTCTAAATTTTATTGTAATTTATAGATTAGTGATTCTTTTATATATATTGCAAGTTTTTGAAGTTTTGTTAAAAGTAAAAATGAAATGTTAATATCATCCGACCACATTTCCCATCTTTACTAATTCTAAATACCAGGCCGGATCGTGCCAACCACCATCTCTATACAAATCTCATTAACAACGCAACAATTTTAAAACTTTATGCTATCGTATTTTCCACTATTATTGGAAAATAAAAATGTAGTTTTTGAACTAGTCTGATTTTTAGCTAAGATTTTTCACCTTATAAAGTTATAAGACACATTAGATTTATTTTTGACATAATAAACCCAGGCCTTTCGGATGCAAAATGTATGAATGTGACATAGCATGTTGAATTTCCTAAAGTTGAGACAAAGACACTTACACATCTATGTGAATCAATTCTAACTTCTTGGTTTAAAGTTCTTTGATTTTTAAAAAAATTATCCTTTTCCACTTTCCAAAAATGCAATCTTCACAAAAGAGAGAATCAATAGATTTTAAATTTAAAATTGTACTAACAGAATGAATAATCTTGAAGCTTTTCTGCCTCATGTAAATAAATATTTAATACTAAATATTCATCGATGAAGTTGAACATATTGTAACCCACATTGCTATATTTATAATGATCTAAGACGCATCAGTTTTATTTTCTCAAACAATCATCATAACTCATTTTTTACCTTCCAAGAATAAAATATTGAATATGATATTATATCCTTCTACTGTAGCTATCCTATAACAATCAAGTTTCGCCTAAGGCTAAGAAAATATTAGATCTTATTGAACTTTCCCGCAACTCTATTTATGGTTTAGAGAATCACATTATCGATGCTAAGGGTTCGTCATAAAAAAATATCAGAATTTTCTACAGTGTAATTTATCATTAATTCCTTATCAGAAGAATGTAATGATACATATTAGACGAGCCCACAGCCACACCTAATGTGCCTAAACACTCAACTACCGACCTCTTTAAGGCATCAGTCGTCAGAGGTGGATTTGAACCCCCGACCGAGGGGACTTACAACTGACATCGCAGACAACTTCATTAAAAATGAGGTCTCTGACATCAGTTAACTTCAATTTACTTCATTAAAAATGGATTTGAACCCTCGAGGGGACTTACAACTGACAGCGCAGACAACTTCATTAAAAATGAGGTCTCTGACATCAGTTAACTTTAATTTACTTGATCTATAACCTAACAACAGTAGTTACAAAAACCCAACCTGTAAGGAGTGATGAATGTAAAGTCGATGTGTAAATTTTCTCACCAAAGTTGATATTCATTGAGCTTAACTGACCTATGATCCAGTTGAACTAGTTGATGTACTCAAGAGCATAAGCTCCCTCAGATATCTTGTGATTAAAAAAAATTGCACATAAAATTTATACATGGCTTCTTATACATAATTGATAATCATTTATCACGCATTTTGTGATTTTTTCGTTAAGAATATTGAAGCAACATTCTTAGTCAGGAGAATGTGAATAACATCCAGAGCTTGCCCATCCACCAGCTCCCACATCTTAATCAATAATAAAATGAATTTTTTCGTTAAGAATATTGAAGCAACATTCTTAGTCAGGAGAATGTGAATAACATCCAGAGCCAACAACTCCCACATCTTAATCAATAATAAAATGTTATCTTGTGATTAAAAAAAATTGCACATAAAATTTAAGTTAATAACAATACATGGCTTCTTATACATAATTGAGAATCATTTATCACGCATTTTGTGATTTTTTCGTTAAGAATATTGAAGCAACATTCTTAGTCAGGAGAATGTGAATAACATCCAGAGCCAACAACTCCCACATCTTAATCAATAATAAAATGTTTGAGGTTGATGAAACTTTCTTCAATAAAGATAACCTTCTATGTTCATCCTCTAATAACTGAGATAGTGGCCATCAAATTTATCGATCTTGAACTTTTATCTTTCACTACACAATTTTTTATGTAGCTTAACTAAGAACTCCGATACCCGTTGTTAGGATGGTAATAAAATTATGATTAACAACTAAATGAAAATGAGAGCTGAGATGCATCAGATTAAAGGACAACGTTTGGCTCAAGGAACATCTTCAACTAGTTTCAAATGGCATCTTCCTCATATTATTTTATATTTATCGATCCTCAATAAAATATCACTTTCCATTGATGATCTGTCGTTCTTATAAATCTTATACTTAATTTGGTATAATTGAATTTTATATTTTTTATTAAGAAAAAAGATGATCAAGGGATCACCTCAATCTCAATATTTCCTAAGTTAAAAAATTTAAATTATATGATTATCTATGAACATGGCAATAGAAGCTGAAAGCTGAAAAATGCATCACAAATGTAAAAGATAAAACTTTTGAAGCTTTTCAATCATGGAAAGAAGTTCAAAATATGCTTTCTACCAATCGAGATGCCCTGGGAAGCAACCATCGGAATATTAGGAAACGGTCTCTTTAATGCAGATATATATTTGCTACCACCTAAAATTGTTGCTGGATATACCTGATGGAAGAAATTAAATAAATGAGTTCAATTATATAGCCAGTAAATTCTTGACATAGTTCAGGGGATCATTATAAAAAAAAGATTCCTAAGGTAAATAGGTAGTAAATATTTTCCGGGGCGCATAACTCTTAAGAAAAAAAATCAAAACACATAAACAATGAAGCTCAAAGTAATTTGATCAAGAACAAAGTGGTCATTATGTCTATTTAAGTTTGCAAAGCATTATATAAAGAAGAAAATTAAAAAAAGAAGCAGAACTATCAGTGTGAAATAAAATAGTTGTCTATCGTTAGTAGAGTATGGCGCCACAGTCGAGCAACTATGTATTTAATTTTGTTGAACACAAAGAATCATAAAAGATCAGAAGTGAATAAAATGTTCAATGAAGCAAACCTTTACAAGCTTTGCACCAGTTTCATATGCACATAACACCTGCAACAGCATGAGTTAAAGGATTTCATAGCTAATATGTCCTATTAAACCAAAAGTTCCATTTTTTTGCAAACAAAAATAAATAAATAAAGAAAAAAAAAAACAACCAGAAATCAAGAAACAATTTATAATCCATGATGACTTTATGTATTAGCTTGTAAGAGATAGTTTGAAGCAATATTTTACTTACTTCGGTAGGCGTCATTACTCCTGGTATATAGAGAATTCCAGTGCCATCAACTTCATGTAAGATTTCCTAAATCAAATTCCAACCGACCTTTTACCAACCCCAAAAAAAGAATAAGAGAAAAAACAACCATAAGATAGGTCTAATTACAATCTTACCATTCAGAATTTTTCCAAAACAGCGTTTAAGATATTTCGATGACATCATAAAAGACGTGAAGGTAAATAATGCAATCAAGATAACAAATATCAACTAGCATAATTCATAATTTTCAGCATGAATTGCAGTATTTTTTTTTTTATTTTATGATTCCTTACAATATTCAACAAGTTAAAATGGGAATTCACTGATAGCATCGTCAAGCCACATTGGAACTAATGGATCATAACATCAACATTATTTATCTAAATTTTACAATGTCGCCGTTTAACCATAGACACTTATTAAACAGTCAAGTGATGCAATTTCTAGAATTAAACAGTCAAGTGATGCAATGAACGAGTGATCACTTTAAAAGCTCATATGTTGAGATTGACGAAATTAGCTCTTCATTTATCTTAGAGAAGTGAGCAGATTTAAACAGGATGTAAATGAAACTCTTTAAAAGAGACTTTTATGAATCCACTAATAGGTATAAATAGGTATAATAATAATAATGATAGTAATATATATATATATATATATATATTAAAGATTTGGGTATATTGTATTAAAAACGATCTTAAACTATTAGATATTGATGAAAATATAACACCCAATATGACACAATGGAGAAAAAGAATTCATGTAGCCGACCCCACTTGCTGGGATAAAGTCTTGTTCTTGTGTTTATATATCTATATATATATATCGAGGAATGTTTAAAAAATGACATTTAAATATCTTTTAAAAGGAACATAAATTTTGAAATTTATTTTAAAAGAGGCAGAGTTGATATTTAAATACCAAATTTGACAAACCTAAGGTTAAAATCAGTATTAAAAAACCGAAAAAAGAAAAAACAGTTTTTTTTTATTTCAGTGTTAAAAATGAGTGTAAAATGAAAGTCAAAATAATATTTAAAATTAATTTTAAAATATTTAAGAGAATTTAATATTATTTGAACAAATTAATTGCAAAAGACTTTGCCTGCTTAATCCATATTTTGCTTTATTTTATAAGTCAAAAATATGTGAAAGTAAATAACATATGTGCGTAACATTTTTATTCTATTTTCAAAAAATTATTTTCAAAGCTAATTATGAGAAAAATTTAGAAAATTTATTTAATTTTTTCAACTAATTATAATTGACTTACGTAGGAACTTTGAGTTAAGATATATTTCATAAGTTTAATTGATATAAATCTCCTAATTATTAGATTCATTTTATGATAACTATAATGAATGTGTATTTAAAAATTTATATTTAAATAATTTCTTAATAAATCTAATATATTTAAAGTTAAGTTACTTGAAAATGATTTTATTTTATTTAGTTAATATAAATCTCAAAATTATTAGTTAATTAACTCAATTTTCAAAATTTCTCAACCTGGTCTAACGAAAAAAAAAGCAGAGAAAACTCAATTATGAAAACAAGAAAGCACCTTCCAATGCTTCGCTGAACTTTGGATCCAAATAATATTAAATTCTCTTAAATATTTTCAAAATTTAAAATATTATTTTAACTTTCACTTTACACTCTATTTTAACATTGAAATTAAAAAAAGTACAAAATCAACATTTAAATTCAGTTAGGTTACAGCTTTTTCGAAGCGAGAAGTATGTTATCCTCTTGTTCTTTCCTTATGAAACTGGAATTCAGCAATAGACACTTTCTGTCTTCTTGGTTCTTCACTGCCGTAAAGCTCCTTCATTCTCCTTCCTTTCCTTTACAACTTTCTAAGGAAACAACATGTCACCACGAAGAAATGTTGCAAGACCCAATCAAGAACTTGTTATGGAAGGTTAACAATGAGAGATTTTCAAGAAAGAAGTTATTGAACAATAAAAATTGAAAACATAGGAGGTAGATCAAGAAAACAAAATTCTTGAGAAAGAAAAAGAAAAACTCATTTCATCAAGAATCCTCAAGTTTTGATGGGTTTGAAGGCCCGGTGTCGGAATCATCATGGATACATGTATATGATCAACTTGGAATGCATTGGATTTCCTAGAGTGAAAATCTCTTGTGTCGATGTTTGCAAGCACAAACTGGTGAAGTTCATTGTGAATATTCAAATTAGAAGGGTTCCTTCTGCCACTAGTGAAGAAAATGATTCTTATTAAACATCTTGTGATCATTATTTCTAGTGAAGCAAATTAATTCAATATTGAAAAAGATGTCGACACAATCTGGCCGACTACGTTCATTGTCTCTAAACTATTGTCACAGCCAGAGGTCAATCAAGCATTACATCATCTTGAAGAGTAATTAAGTTTGGATGAATATGTGAATGAATAACAACATATTAGATGTTTTCCCAGACCGTACCATTCAACATGAAAACCTTGAAGAGCCAACACTCATAGATGGGGAAATAAGAAATTCCTTCCAGAAACTATAGGAAAACTTACTCCAACAAGGGAAAATGCGGGATATGATCAAGGTGTAACAAAAAAACTGAAGTGTATATCGCTTGTATTGCATCATGACTGAGAAAACCTCTTCTTGGACCGATATGTTGGAATTCAATTCATATTCAACAGGACTCGGTTCTCATGGAAATAAAGAATCATGCAATATCACCAATCTTTATCTATTAGCTAGGGAAAATGTTTGGATTATTGATCTTGACTTACTCGGGGATTAAAACGACTCCATTGCTTTTAGTGTCCCCAAGTCGGAATAGGAGACCCAAGTTGAATCTTCTCCAACCTTGGGAGAATGATGCGGAAGCATCAGTACTAGTGTTGTCAACATTATGTTATAGTTCAGTTTTTTAGTTCTTTGTTTTTATGTGTTTTCTATTTGAATGATAAACTTGTAATAAGGGGAGTCTTAGTGATTATAAATAGGGGTTGTTTTGTGTATCGGGACAGATTTTGGTTTTATAATTGTGAGTTTCTTTCATTTGGGAAGGTTGAGCTATCTGTTCATATTTCTTGCAGCTGCATCTTGGAGTTGGAAACCCGTGTGGGGTCTTGTCGTGTGTATTCATGTGCATACTGGACATCAATAATATTCATTTTGTTGTTTTTTTGCCTCTAGAGTTCTTCTCAACATTTCTTGATTGTTGTTTTGATGAAATTCTACTCTCATACCTCTTTGTCGGTATCAGTAATCTAGTAAAATGTGAAAAACATGCAAAATATATATGATTAAGACATCTAGTTAAGAGTTGGCATGTTAATAATCACATAAATAATTGCTATCAGTTTTCATATTCTTATAAAAGTTATGGATGGATATTCAAAACAACTCAAGTATTGGGCTCTTCAATTTATATAAACCCCATTTCAACCTAAGTAATCTAGCCGGCACAAAGCTAATAAGCCCACCAAACTAAATCAATAGTCATCTCACTTAAAAGGTAAGTGTGTGAGAATCATTATGTGACTTTTGTTATCCTCAAGGTTACTGATGAGCCATAAAATAATGTAAGCCTCATTTTAATTAATTTGGATCAACACAAAACTAGCAAATTCATTGAATCAAAGCTTAGGCCTTCTAATAAATGTAACCTCTAACCCAACCTAAATTAAGGCCAACTCCCATGCTAACAAGCTTATAAGTCAAAATCAAATCTACTAATTAAAATTATGAAAATAAAAAGCCCATATCCTCGAAATATTTTTTTCAAGCCAATTTGAAACTCATGGATAACTTATGCCATTCCATTCAACTAAGATCATATTGATCATGTCCAGTATGTATGAACTTCAAGCAGACATATTCTGTGTCTCTAAACTATTCAATGAGACTAATAAAATCAATCCTCTACCAAATAAATGAGTCAATGATAAGACCAAAAGACTGTCAACATCCAAATGCATTTCCACCACTATCTGTTCCAAATTTATGAGATGAAATTGCTCTTGATTGCTAATCAAGCCTCAGAATATTACGGTTCAATGCATCTAAGCATTGATAAAATGGATCCATTCGTATATCTCAGAAGATAAAACCATGAGATCTCTGGTCATTACCCATAAATTAACTTCAAAACTAGATATTGAACTTGGATTAAAAAATTGAGACTAAATATGTAGCAGTCCAAACTCCCAACCATAAAGATATTGTCCGCTTTGGTGAGAGGGCCTCGTGATTTAGTGCTCTCATATGAGCATGCTTAACTTTGAAATTTCTAATAAAATTCCACAGTTACCCCTAAAGGCGCCTCAATTTTTAAAAGTTCAGTTTCTTTCTACTTAAAAGGTTTCACAATCTCCACTAGTTTCAGTAACTGAAGTCCTCGTCGGATTTTCTAACCCAGAATCATTCACTAGGCAGATATGATTCTCGAGGGGACCCCTGTAGATTCAAGAGATGGCTCGCACCATATAGCATTAAAAGATAACTCTCATGGCGCAGCACTTTGTTTTATATGGCACTTAATTCCCATCTTCCAACTAGTGTAATGCATATAGTTTGTAACGCCCGAGCTCTCACCAGTGGAGATATTGTCCGCTTTCGCCTGATGGTTTCATGGTTTTGCCTAGTTGGCATGGGCGGACCCATGTTAGGTCGAAGGGGGCAATTGCCCCCTCTAAATTTCATAGTTCGATCGAAAAGGACGGGCAAATTGATTTTTTACCCCCTCAAATGTGCATTTTGACCCCACTCTAACAATTCTTCTACAGATGTTGGTTCAAGCTCGACTCAATTTGAGCTTTTAAAATGTAAATTGAGATAAAACATTAGGATAACATTCAAACTCAATTTTTTTAATGAGCATATTCAAGTTATAAGAAAATAAAAACTTAAATATTAAGGCTATGTTTGGGCGGGCGGTGGGAATGCGGGGCGATGCCGCGCCGCTTTTTTTTTTTTTTTTGGCGTTTGGTTTTGCGTTCCTGCCGCCGCTTTCCGCGGTTCGGATCAAAAGAGCAATGTGGGTTAATTGCAGCGGCCCAACTTCGTGGACACAACTTTTACCTCCGTGCCCCTTTGCCCTATCCCACGAAATAGAAGCCGCGATCTTCCTCTCTTCCCCTCCTCTTCTCCAGCCAGTGACGTTTCTTGTTCGTCTTTCTCTTCTCTTCCTTCTCCTTCTCTTCCTGTTCTCATGATCTCCTCACAGCAAGGGTAAGAAATTTTTTTCTCGCATGCCTGTTAGATCTGCTACTTGGTAAATATGATCTGGAATGTGGTTTCTTTAGGGTTATGCAGCCTATTAGATCAGCAAAATCCATACCCCCGTGCCCCTTTTCTCGCATGCCTGTTAGATCTCCTCCACATTTGTTTAGCTGCTGGGTAAAATTTTTTTCTGGTTGTGGTTTCTTTGGGGTTTAGTTGTGTTTGTCTTTGATGTTGTGAAGACATCAGGAATGTTTTTATTCTTGCTACGCATGATTCTCATGTAATCGAAATCTTCCCGTGTGGCTTCTTCTGTTGTTGCAGCCGGACGTTTGTGTGGTCTTCAAATCCATTTCGTGAATGTATCTGTAAGCTAGTATGGATTATGGTTTGCTGTGATGATTTTGGAAGCTTAGGAATGGATTTTTTGTTCCTCTTTATGATGCTCAGCTATGTTTCAGAGGTGCTTCGTGTATATGATGGAATGGCAGTAGGTGGTTTGCCATTCCTTATAGTGATTGTTAGTTTCATATAAGCTGGGTGTGAGTCTAGTGAGTTCCTCTACTTGTTCAGATTGTATTGCATGAAACGATTTTATTGTTCTTTGAGATAGTCGGTTCTGGAACCAGGTTCTTGGAATATTGTGAAAGCAGAATGGTTCAGGAACCAGGTTTCTCCTTTGAGCTGAATACTTTGAACTTCAATTCTTAGAATATTGTGTGGTTATTCGTAAAGGAATACACTTCTTTAGAAAGTGAGCCTCATCTTTTTATGAATAATGTTCTCAATACTATTGCTAAGGTCCTGGAAATATGCAAAATTTTGTGTTTGACATTTGCTTAGCTCTTCACGTTGGGATTGAATGAAGTGCTAGCTTCAGTCATGCAATCAGTTCATTCTAGATTTAACTATTTATTATTATTATTTTATACAAGTGCTTATGATCCCACTTAAAACTTGATGACAATGTTTCATGATTTATCAATAGTCTAATTAACATATGTTTGATAGGTAGAACTAATCTTCCTTATGCCAACACCACCCTATTAGTGAATTGCTGAAAGAGGATACAATATTCATTTTGTGTTGGTTTTATTGTGAGCATTGTGTTCTCAACAGTTCTTAACATTCCTTATGGATATTTGTGTGACACAAAATCAATTGTCATTTGTTGTTTTCCTTTTTCATGTTCTGTATGCGTAGAATTCGAATGTGAACCATCTCATTTATGCATTTTGTCTGCAATTTGAAGTTCTCACAAGTAGAAAAGGTTTTGATTTGCTAAACAAGTAATATAAGTTGTTATATCTTTTGTTGCAATTAGAAAAATATGAGCTCAAGGATGTCCGGGACATCTCGACGATTGCTCTGTCACTGTGGCCTCCAAACTACCATGTTGACATCACGTCAGCCGTATAGTTACGGGAGACAGTTTTATAGCTGCCCAAGGAACATCGCAGAACAGTGCAACTTCTTCAGTTGGGCAGACACTTTGGCGGATTCCCTGATGACAATGGTCAAGAATGACGAGCTTCACTTGAGGAAAGGCTGGCCGGGGGCTACACCATGTGAATGTTAAAAATAATATTATTATCTTGTTAATTGTCATTGTAATAGTGTTAGACTTTTTTTTTGCTCTCCTGATACTATCTGTTACTTGAGAAGTGTTTCTGTAATTTTGGACTGTTTTCATTGAAGTTTGGACTTAAAAGTATTTATCCATGATTATGAAATTTTTTGTTATGTGAATGATGAATTGCTTTTGTAATACACTACAAAATGGATACTACAGTACGCAGCCTATTTTTTTAAGCAGCATTTACATTTGCACATCTAACAACTAAAATTTGCATTTTACATTTCTACCACCTAATAACAGTTTTAAAATTTTAAAATGGGAGTATTTTCAATGTGATATGAAACATTTGAGTAGTGTAAATGAAAAATTAAAGTGTAGATGTTTGATCATAAAAGTTTGATATTCATATATTTACCAATCTAACAGCTAAACTTTTAACATATATTAAGCAATTCGATATATATACATATCTAATACTTAAATTAATTACATAATAATAATTAATTAATTTTTTAACACTTAAATTTGTTACATATTTAACACTTTCAATTTTCAATAATTTCTTACATAATAAATTTTGTTTATGAAGTTTCAAATGTGGCTGTTAGAGTTTTCCTTTAAACATATTTACCAAACAAGGGCAGCATGATCATTTTTTCCAGAAACAGTTACTTTATAGCTGTTTTCACACAGCTGCACCAAACAAACAAGCAGCTTCTTCGCAGCAGTTTTCTGGCGCAGCGCAGCTACAGCTAAAAAACTGAGAAGCTGCAACCACCCCAAACAAAGCCTAAATATTATTTTTCAAACATTCTCATATTGCAAGCACATCTATTTAACCACAAGGCCATAAAAGAGTCTAACTTTCTTGGCAATTTTTTTTATTTAACGAGTTGTAACAAATGATAATTCCCAAATGTGGGACTAAAAGGCACCCTAATAGATCTCTAACGATAATAGGTTACATTACACAATTCATATCAACCAATTCCTATGTATTTACATATCTAACACCTAAATTTTATTTCTATATTTATATCACCCAAATATTTCATATCACAATAAAATATCTACTATTTAAATTTAAAAAAAGTGAAATACACCTTTTCATACATAGGTAAGTGGCATATATGTTAAAATTGAAGTGTAGGTGATAGATAAGTAAATATATAAGAATTGAGTGGAAAGTATGTAAATCATCCTAAATTTTGTATTTTTTATTTTTATTTATTTTTATTTTAGTTTTTCTATCTCCAAACTATATTTGTATTTAATTATTTAAAGTTAATAAAATAAGAAAATAATTTAATTTTAAATTAATTTTCACTTTTATATTTTGAAATTAAATTATTATTATTTATTTATTATTTTTAGTTGATAATATAAAAAATAATTTAATTGTACATTGATTATAAATTGTTTCTTAATTATATTAAATTTTTAGTTAAAATTTATATTGGGTGTTTAACTCACCCTTATTTAGCGCTTTACGTTTATCTAAATACATATTATTCATTTCATGTTTAAAAAATTAAATTATTTTTATAATAAATTTGCCCCCCTTAAATATATAAGTTGGGTATGCCCCTGCTCATTAGTGTAACTTCTTAGAAGGTCACCCATACCAAAGGTATTCTCATGCTAGCAAGATTAATTTTGGAGCTTAACTTTGAAGTTTTTTGTGAAATTCTACCATTACACCAAAATACGCCTCAATTTTTAAGAATTCGCCTTCATAGTACTTAAGGGGTTTCACAAAATAATATCTTAATAAAGATGTTCTCATTTAAGAGTAATGAATTATAGGAAACTACATCAATGGAAAATGTTGACCAAGCATTTAAATAAACATTAGTCCAAACATTAATAAAATTCCAATAAAAACAAAACTAATCTACTTAAGAAAAATTCCAATTCTCTCTTACAGATTGAGGCCTCTAGGGAGGGTTGGCATTTCTATAATGATCAAACATCAGCTTAGGGTCTGTTTGAGACAACTACAGTTGTATGAAGAAATAGTTGTGAAGCTGCTACAGAAAAAATTATTGTTAAAAAAACTGTATTGGCTATTATAAATTTATTTTATTTTAAAAAAGTCAGACCATAATTTTCTGGTAGCAACCGCACTAAGGATGCGTTTGGGGCAGCAGTGTCGCAACGCACTTTTTTCTATTCGACAAAACTATATTTTGTCCATTTTTTCAAAAAAAATCAGTCGAAAGCTGCGTTTTGCAGTCTAAACCTATCTAAGAGCGGTGGCTGCTTGAAAGTTGCAGTCTAACTTTTTGAAAAAAAAAATAGTAACAGCCAACACAGCTTTTTGAATAGTTGTTTTTTCTACAGCAACTTCACAATTGCTTCTTTAAAAAACTGCAGCTTCCCTAAACAGACATTTAGTCAAGTTTGGTTGCAAAATACAGCTTCTCACCGTAACTTTTTAAAAAAACAGGTAAAACACAATTTTTTCAAATGCCAGAAAATAAGATGTGGCACCGCACCGCAGCCCTAAATACACCTTAATTAGTAACAAAAAAAGCAGCTAGGGAATGATGACTTAAGGATATCAATAGCCTATAGTCTTCATGCAGGTTTGATAACATTGCTTTAAACAAGAAAATACATTGCAGCAAATAAAAAATATCTTCTATAAATTTGCAAACCAAAGTTAGAAATTTAGTCTTTTTTATAAATTCCTTATCCTATTATGAACCAATTGAAAAAAATATCAAAATTTCCTAAACTCTTTAAGGATAATTTGCCGCAAAATATTCTAGCATAGATACAAAACACATAATCAAATAAACAATCTACCAAATCACATAAAGCCAAAAATATACATCAAAGATACGTTAAACTCACCAGGACAGTGCAAGGACTCATAAGAAACTTGGCACCAGCATTAATTGCTTCTCTTGCATCATCAACATTTAAGACAGCCCCGGCCTACATAATCAAAATCATAATAGGCTAAAGTTTGAATTAAATTGTGCTATCAAATAAATAAAAGCATGAAGTTTCCCATCAATTACGTGTCATGCATTGATTCTGATATACATACTAAAACAAACGAGCATATCATGACATTAAGGACAATAACAGTTCATCATTACAATCATAACCACCACCATCATCAGCTCATTAGCCTTTTTCCAAGTATAAGGCAAAAGGTTTATGAAATTATCACTGCTGAATATTACATTAAATGTCCTACTCTACAGAAACCATTTTACACTATTTTTTTTATTATCACGCTTATTCTATTCCTGTTTTTTTCCCTAAATCTTAGGCACTACTTCATGCATTTAGCTTCAATCTCACGCCTAATTTCCTCAACTGTTAATCATGGCATAATATAAACAGTGTACGAGTAAAAAACATTGAAGAACTAACAGCAGGTCTAGATGTTTCTGATATGCTTGCATAGCAAATTACTCATTAGTGATCAGGTGCCTTGTTCATAAAAGTATACTTCTAATTCTTAAATCAAACTTATTTGTAAATTGTATTGGTAAATCAACAGTTACCCCTATTATTAAGAAGGGATTTTCCTGCAGAAGCCCTTGTATCACCTGCAGAAAACAGGTTAAAGAATTAATATAGTGCAATGTGCGGTACTAATATTAAATCTGAAAAGCTAACAAATCAACTACCATTGATGCATCTGGAGTGGACATCATAACTTCAAGCTAGAATTTTGATGGTAAAAATAATCAGAATTTAATAAGTTTGTTTATTTAAATCAGAAGATGGTGTTTGGTAAAAAAAGTCTTACCAATGCTATTCCTCCTTTAAGAGCAGCACGAGCAGCTTCCATTGCCAACATTCCACTGCAAAGCAAAGTCAGAAACTTAAGCTTTAACAAAATATTTAGTTGAGTAAAATATAGTTGCAGAAAACATTTAATTTTCGATAGGCAAACTAGTGTAATTTCAGCTTCAAGTTTTGTGGAAGCTTTGTAATTACTAGTTACTTCTATCCAACAGCACATGGTTTTAAGGCCAAACATTTAGCAATAAGAAGAAAACAAAAGTAAATCTCTACTTGGTCTCAAATTGAAAGGCAAATTTAGAAAGAAAGCACCATAGATGGGCTACAAATTAAATAATAAGCCAGACATATATCGAGAGCCACCACATGAGACTCTGGCCAGGCAATCTTCAAAAAATGTCAGACATACTTAAGCTTACCAATGCATTGTAAAGATGTAGTTTTAGTGATTCCAACATATGATTTCCAGTCACAATGGAGGTAACATAACCTAACCATTTTGGAAAAATTTCCACTTACCAAAGTTTTCCATATTAGAGAGAGAAAAGTGTCAAAATAATCCCACAGCTCTTTAAGGGGGGTCATTTTAGTCCCATGCCCTATAAAAATGATAATTTAGTCCCGACACTTTTTTAACATAAACTGAATTAGTCTTCTCAAAAGGACTGTTATAGCCCCAATTTAAGGATTCTCAGAATTAATTTGACCCTTTATAAACACTAGGACTAAATGGCGCCATCTAAGCTATCAGAGAACTATTTTGGCACTTTACTTATTTCAGTTAAGGGAAACTGCTTCTAGAAGCTCTCTCTAGTCACAATTTCCCGACCAATCTTCATAGCTATCCAATCTCCCTATTGAGTGATCTCTTTGTCTGCCTGGTCTCCTTGCTTTCCCAATCTCCCTCTAATCATTCCATAGTCGATCTCCCATGTCTAAAGGACCTCTGCTTGAAAGAATTTCTACACGGCCTCATTTGATCAAAGGTCATCCGCCAATCCAACACGTACAGATACAACCTCTTTCATAGTCAGTCAATTGGGCTTCCTTGTGATGTTCCGTTGACCTCATTCACCAATACCAAGCTCTATTGACGTTGAACGGGTAACCTTCACTGACATCATATCAACCACCTCTGTGAACACTAAAACAAAAGCTCTTTTTCACATCCAAATCAATCCATTACTCTTCTAATTCCTTCATCCCAACTCATCATAAACTGACAACCATCTGACCAGTCTCATTAGTTGCTAAAAATCTTTTTTACTAGTGTTCTTCTGACAAACAACGAGAGAATACTTGTAATTTCAAATCCAGTTAATCTACAATAGACACTAGAAATTTTTTTCGTTCAGGCTTTTCAGTTAGAAAAATATGGATTCACTCATATTGTTGTTTGTGTGTTTTGAGTATTTTGGAGTCAAAAGAATTGTATCATTCTTTCATTCTCTTGCTTCATAGAAATATTCCAACAAGCAACAATCATTAATTAATGAATTGGATTCATCAGTTACCTAAAAATAATGATTTCTATTGTAAAAGGAAAAGTACCAGCACAGATTGCGAGGCAATCTAACGGTTCAGATGGGAAAAGACATATCGAAGGAGGCCTCCCAACAGAAAACCTGGAGACCCAGTTAGACGGGCATACAAAGGTCAAGGCTAACCAAGGCAACCGAAAGACTAGAATTTGAGCGGTTTGACCAAAAGCAAAGCACGGGGTGATCCAAGTCATTTCCCAAAATAAAACCGACACAAGGGAGAAGTTAAACCCTCGAGTCTTGCAGTTCTACCGGAGACATCCAACGGTCTCGCTGAACATCATCAAGAGTCAATAAAACAACAAGTCTTAGTCATTCCTCTGGATTTCTCCGTCTAAGGGCAGCTACCTATCAAATTATGGTGATTCAACCTTTGTCTGATAACCTAGCTTAGTTCTACGGACAAAAGTTCATCATCAGGGATCGAAGGTTGACGAACAGACTTCACCAACTGATTGGCACGATTTAGCCGACCAAATCAATCTTTCTGACCACTTTCCAACAGAAAGATCAACTAATCAATGACATCTACTGAACATGATCGACCAGCAACCTCATTAGTTTAGCCAACCGACAATATTTACCGAGCTTAGCCGACTGCAGCGCCTACCAAGAGCTCGCTAGTCCAACCAGTCGATTGCTTGAGTCGTCAGATTATGGGCTCTCATATGTAGAATACCAAATCATAATATGTACATTCCACATTAAAACAGGGACATAAATATAATTTCACCATTGCATCCCCTTTTTCTATAAATAGGAGATCGTTCTATGAATAACGAGTAACACACTTCTCACAAATTATAGTTCATTTTGTGTCCATCTCTCTCTCTATCTCTCTCTTTTTTGTCACACACTCTATTACTTCAGTGAGGTTTAAAGACAGATCAGGATCCAGCACTCATCAAAAGATTTTGGTGATTTGTTCCATCTTTGCTCGGCTGTAGCTTAGGATTTAGGAACTCATTTGAGCTCTAATCAGTTATTTTTAGCCGACCCTACTTACAACTAGGAATTGAACATGAGTGCCAATGTGATTATAGAACACTGTGAAGTAGGTCTCCTAAGCACCCACTATCTAGATTATTCTGGAACTTATATTTAAGAAGCCTATTCAGCTTATAAACAGGTTCCTTCTCAAACTAGCTCAAAAAAATATTAATTTAAACCTAAAAGAAAAAACAGTCAGACCAACCGGCCAACCAAACTGCTCAAATCTTTAATATTTCGACAGATTTTAGTATCTATGCCAGGGTTTACTAAATCTGCATTTACAGGATTTATTAAATCCAACATGAGTTAAATCTTATTTGCTAAACAGCCTCTTATTAGGGTAAAATGCTGATTAGGTTTTGTCTACCATTTATAGATTGTAAACAATAGGAGAAAATCATGAAATAAAAAATCGCAATGCATCTAATACGCGACGATTCAATTAAACAACTGTACTGCATCAAATGAATATATAACGAACAACGCAAAAACAGCTCAACATCACCTTTAATGGAAATCGCATGATTTATTCTAAAATAATTGTAAACCTCAACGGCTGATTAAGTAGGGTCTTTTTCAGCAAAATAACAAAATTTAGCAAACTTCATCGTCAATTAATCCATTTACATGCACCATTTTGGACTTCCGAATCATCTTAGAACTACAAGAAGAAGATAAAAGATGAAGATGAGTGTTTGACATTACTCTTTGGCTCGAAGGCACGCTATAACGCATCTCTTTTGGATCTCAGATAGGGTTTTTGGAAGAGAAGGAGCGGCCAAGGAGAAAGCGGACGCAGGCAGCGAAGGACTCTGAGAAGCACGAAGACAGCGGCGATTTGGAGGAAGAGGGGGGATGGGAATCGTGAAGAAATGACAACCGGAAGCCATTTGAGGGCGGGATATTTTGGTTGCTTGGATTTGAGGGCATAACAGGCGTCCAGTGTGCATTTTGTGGATTTGCTTAATTGTGTGATTTTATAATTAATAATGGTTAATGATTTGTAATAATAGTAATAAAGGTAATATAGCTTTAATTTTTAATTATAATGATAATGTTTGTGTTTATTTGCTTTGAGAAAATTTACAAGTAAAATGTCAAAATAATCTCTGACTATTTATATGGGTCGTTTTAGTCTTAGAGGTTATAGAAGTATCTAAATAGTCTCCACTTTTTAAATTGTGGTTTAAATAGTCTCAACGGTAGACTATTAGAGCTCGATTTTAAAATAGTTGAAGATTATTTAGACACTTATAAAAAATTTGGGACTAAAACGGCTCCGTAAAAATAATCAGGAATTATTTTGGCACTTTACTCGAAAATGTATTTGATATACAGATTTATTTGACGGGTATAAATTGATTCCTTAAAATTTACTCATCTATGTTTTGAAGAAGTTTTCAGGATTTCTTTTCTTTAAAATTTTTGGTTAGATGATGTTCTCGTTTATATGCTCTAAGGCGATGTTTGGCTGCAGCAAAATATTTACATTAATAGGATTTATCAGAGATTTCAGTCAGTTTGCGACTGAGATAGAACAGGTGAGAAATTGCGACTTAAATCCTTGTAATCCGCCTCCTAGTTGGATTTGATAAATTCGGATTTACATCATAGAAGAGACGGAGCAGGAAGAAACAAACGGAACGAGATAGATTTTACTTTAATAAGAAGTTGGAATTGGTTTTACTATTTTTGGTGTTTGGCTAGATTTAGGTGAAATCCGATTAAAAGTGTTCCACCAAACACCCCCTAAGATTGATTGCATCTATGTAAATTGTTAACATAGTATATATTTTTATTATGAAAATAATAAATTATTATGTATAACCATAGGGATTTAAAATTATTGAAAGCACGCTTTAATTAAAACTATTATAATAGTTAGTTCCACCCAAATTCATTTCTCTTGTTCATTCACTTCATTATATAAACTTTCCCAAATCGAGTTGACATCTAAGGGTGATATTCAAACAAATCTAAAACATTGGAAATAAGAGATATTTTTTATTTCCTTTTGAAGGGCAATAACATATGCATTATCATTGATGTTTTGAGCAATTAGAAATGAGCTTATTTTACATGGCTTCAACTTAAAGTGAGTGGAAACTGAAATCGAAATTTTCTGTGGGTTATGTCTACATTTGACTCTATTAAACCTTGAGGTGATTTTCTTGTATAAGATTTCACAAGAATATAAAATACATAAAAGTATAAGATATTAATCCCCACACAACTTGATTATGGAAGTAAATACTAGGAATTCAACCCTTGATCTTCAATCGACTTGATACTTGGAATTCATCTTTTAGAACTTGACCAACTCGGTCCTTGGAGCTCAACGAACTCAACACTTGGAATTCAGTTTTTAAAACTAAACTAACTTGGCCCTTTGAAGTTTGGCTAACTTGACCCTTGGAACTCAACAAACTCTCTTGCAATTCGCCCTTTAGAACTTGGCCGTGTATCGAGCCTTGGAACGTGGCAAGCTCAATAAGTATTTTTTTATGTGAGTAAACTATACCCATGGCTACATTAGAGGCATCAACCTTCTCTCGAAATGGTTAATCAATATCTTGTATTGCCCAAGTTTGTTCCTTACAAAGAGCTTACTTAATATTTTTTAAATATTTCTATTGCTTACAGCCCTACACAAAGGTCTTCTCTTTCAAGCAATCTATAATAGGTGTCATTAGCGCTCTAAATCCTTAGATGAAATTTGGCCAAACTATAGTAAGCTCCATGCATCAGTCAGCAAAGTGGGAATTGGTGAGAATTGGATAGCCAAAATCATGTTGGGATCAGTTTAGATGCTCTCAAAATTAAAAATGAAACCCAAAAAGTCTACTTTGTTGGATGCAAAGTCATACTTGGTCATATTAATGTACAATTTCTATTCTCTCAGCTCTTCAAAAGCATTGTAAAATGACTTGAAAGTTTGTTTCAATTACTTGTTCCAAACAAATTAAGATAACATCAAAGAAAGCTAAACAAAATATTTCATGGAATGTTTGAATATCTCATTCATCAGCCACATGAAGGTACTTTGATGCATTGCATTGCCTAAATAGCATGATTCTACATTCAAAAAGTTTTTCATACATCCCCGGGATAGATTCATATTAGGTGATAACCACTACTGAAGACTTTCTCTTAAACATATTGGTTCCATATAATTTATCCAATAAATCTTCACGTTACAACATAAGAAAAATATCCACATCAATCACATCACACAAAACTTCGCAGCTATAATGTTTACTAGCATAAAACCTTACGTGTTCCATTAACGAAAACTATAACCTTTTCTGGATGTTTGGATCTGTCATAATTTTAATTCTAATGCCTTAACAACCTTAAGAGGAACATTAATCTCTATGAATCCATAGGCCATTCATACACCTTGCCATTAATAGTATAATGAGTTATGAATATGCATGTCTGTCTCGACATTCTATCTAGGAGCTAGCAAAACCTTTTCTAATTACCAAGAAATAAGTTCTCCTTTACACCATGCTTCAGAACAAGTCTTCAGTTGAGCCCCGCCTGGGCCGATCCACACCAGTGTTTCCTTGGTGATGTACCATTTTTTCGGAAATGAAGACCATTGAATATGCTAGTTTCATTATTCAAATAAAGAGAAGTTAAACTTCTCTACATGAACATTGTAATGAAATCATCACCTATTTTTTTTATTGGATTGACTTCTATGTTTAGTTAAGATAATAAGAAAAGGGTATTTACATACATACCACACAATTCTTATGTATTTATGTATCTCATATCTAAATTGTCGTATTTACTCACATGCTATTCAAATCTTTAATATCATGTCATAAATAATATTATGTATGTAAATATGAAGTGTGGGTGTGAGATATGTAAATATATAAGAACTGTGTGCTGCATATGTGTATTTACTCACATGCTATTCAAATCTTTAATATCAGGTCATAAATAATATTATTACCACTTTTAAAACACCAAAATGCACTAGTTTAAAACATCAAAATGCTATGTATGTAAATATGAAAGTGTGGTGGGTGTGAGATATGTAAATATATAAGAACTGTGTGCTGCATATGTAAATTTTTCTAAGAAAATGTCAAGACATTGAGTTATAAAAATTCAAATGTATTGCTCCATTGATTTTGGAGTTGACTTTATGCTCAGATCTCCATTTAAGGTGATAGAAAATGATCATTCATAACGTACAAGCAGAATAATTTTAAATAGAGGCTACTTGTATGAGTTGAAATTTGCTCATTGCTGACCGGTTTTTTAATGAAACTGTAATTCTCACATCTCGGCTGGTTTAGATTTGGGTCGTATAAATGTAAATGTAAGAATTAAAATTCTTTAAGTGTCAGATATGTAAATATATAAGAATTGGGTGGTATGTATGTTAATGTTCCTTTGTGAAAGAAAGATTTACATATATACCACAGAATTCGTATGTATTTACATTTCTAACAACTAAACTTTAATGTTTATTCACGAGTCACTTTACTTGTGCTCAAAAAATGTTTTAAAAAGTTAAAATGGTGGTACTTTTGAGTTTTATGTGATGTGGTATACATGTAAAAAATGTTAGATATGTAAATATATATGAATTGGGTCGCATATATGTAAATGTCCCCATGTAAAATTGAAACAGAGGAGTCCAATGCCGCTCTTCAAACCAAATCGGCCATCACTTACCACCCCCACATTTCCTCATTTTCTCAGATTCTGCTCCACCATCTTAAAAGAGAACCAAAGCTTTATTACATTGAAAGGCAGAGGAAAAGGCCAAAAAGAAAACAAAAGGGCCGCTTTCTTCTATTTGTTGATATATGCTCTCCATCAGACAAACTTTTGATGCGCTCCCTCCGTCAAATTCAAGTTTTTTATGTCGATTTCCACTCACGAGTGATCAAATCTCTTTGTTGCAAATCTTCAACTTCTCCAAATTTGTGTTTTTTTTGGTCCGCTTGAAGAGCTTTGCATATGTTTCCTGCGCCAAAGTTCCTCTTTTTATGCTTGATTTCCGTTCAGGATGCTACTTGTTGAATTCAATTGATCGGCCATCTCTCGCTGAGCTCCATGAGATGAAGCATTAGCCTTCTAATCCCTGTGTTGCTTACAACTCAGATTTTGATGCTCTGGTTCTGAACGTTTCTTTTGAATCCGTAAGTTTTTACTTTGCGCCGTTTTGTAATAGCCAGAAAGCTTCTTCTGGCTTTATTCTCTCTGCTTCATAGCGGATGTTTTTCGAAGTTGAGAGCTTTATTATCAGAGTACTAAAGCGTCACAGCAGCTAGAAAACTGCAGAGATATATAAAATCAGATCATGAAACAAACGGTCTTCTTTTGTATAAAGTTTAAAATCTTCTCCTTTATTCTTTAAGCTTCAACCATAGGAATGAAGGAGCAGTTGGTTCTGATTCACTTCGGCATGGAATGAAAGCCCTGCAAGGGTATGATGGATGATGGAGAAGAAGTAAACTATTCAAGATGCCATCTTTTAACAAATCCAGACATACCAAACAGTGGGAACATCAATGAGCTTTTGAGAACTATATACCAGGACATGTACACTCACACCCACATGCTTGCCGCCACTGAAGGAGATCAAGGAGAAGGAAAGGAGCTGAAGAAGCCAGTCAGGAAGTCACTGAGGAACAAAGAGGCTGTTCGGAAATATCGAGCGAAGAAAAAGGCGCATGCAGCTTACTTAGAGGAAGAAGTGAAGAAGCTGCGTTTTATAAACCAGCAGCTCCTGAGGAGATTGCAGGGACAAGCTGCACTTGAGAATGAGATCTCAAGACTGAAGAGCCTTTTGGGAGATGTCCATGCTAAGATTGACATTGAGCTTGGTGTCTAGTGTTTGCGTTTTTCAGAATGCATGAGGTTCTATTTATTCGAAAAATTCAAGTTTTTCAACTATCATACTTATTTGATTGTGATTTTTGTTAACTTATTGCTGTAATATATCTGTCAGTGAGCATGAAATTTATAGCATTAGGTATATAGAAAGGTGATCAGATCTAGAGGACTGCTGGGAAGCAACCATCTTTGTGTATGTGTATGTGTATGTCTTCTGAGCGAAGAATTATTACTTGTCTAGCCCAAATGTATCTGGACTTCATGTGCAATACTGTTGTACACTGTTATATACATATTGTACAACAGTATACAACGATGTTGTGCACAGAGTCCAGATATGTAACATTCTATATTTTCTACAAAGGATTGATGTAGTGTTTTTTGATGAAATGAGAATTATATTGCATAGTAATCATGGATTTTTTGATAAGTTTGGTCAATATCTTGCAATTTATTAATATTGTTACTATGAAACTCTGTTTTGAGATGAGAAGAATGGTGTGCAGTATAACAGATCTAGGAGTTTATGCCAACAAAGGTTATAAATTTTATGGGCATATATATGCACATACCACCCAATTCTATGTATTCACATATCTAAGAGCTGAACTTTGCTTTTTACATTTATGCTACCCAAATCTTTCGCATCAATTCAAAAATATTACCATTTTAATTTTTTAAAAATGAAATAAACTTATTCATTCAAGGTGAAATATTGAATGGCATGCATGCAATAATACAAGTTTAGGTGTTAGGATGTAAATTTAAAGGAATTAAGTGGTATGTATGTAAATCTTCCTAGATTTTAATATTAAGTTCTAAATATTAGATATGTAAATACAAAGGAATTGTGTGCTATGTATGTAAATTTCCCCAGTGATAGAATAATATGTCCACTGATAGAATAATATGACTTGCACGCATCAAGCTTTTGTTCCTACATTCCATTCTATTCCAATTAATATCAACCAAGAACTGTAATGGGATTCAGAAGATATAGAGTAACATCGATAATAAAAAGTATTAGAGACATGACTAGATTGTGAGAGAATGCATAATAGTTAAAGTGTTCAATATCTTAAAATTTATGCTTCTTTTTATATACATTTTTGTAAAAACTCGTGCTTTTATGTGACATTTGTTTATATTTTGTTGCATGAAAATAACACGATAAATGAATTTCTAGAAAAATGATAATTCTAAGAGGTGTCGCAGGGCTATAATGACATTCAGACTGAATGGGTTAGTATTTGGGTTGTTGCAACTGGAATCAGAGCATTAAACTAGCATGTGAAAATGGTTGTGCTTTTAGCTTGAAAATCGCTAATCTCTCAAAAATTAATTCGAATTTTGGCTCAGATCGAGATCATATCAAAATAAACGGGTTGCGCTATGAGTCGACAGTTTATATCTAATTTTTTTCAAGCTGATTTCATGTCATATATGTATCAACTCAAAATAATTTTTATTTAATAGATATTATATATATATATATATATATAACTAAATAAAATTGAATATAACGAGTCATAGGCCGATTTCAAGCTAGAACAAAACCAAATAATTCAATTTGAGCCACCAAGTTTTGATTTGGAGACAAATTTGAGTTATAATAGATCCAACTAACTCAATTTGAACCAGCTCGTTTCAAGTTTGTGTGATCGAGCTCGACCAAATTTCAAGCTAAGTTGGCTCGAAATTGAATATAATGAGCCACAAGATTATTTCGAGCTGCACTCAATCCATTTGAGTGGATCCCAACTTGGCTTGAAGTTGGATCATTAACAACCTTACCTAAAGATGGAGATGGGAACTAAGTGTCATATAAAAAAAGGTGAATTGTAAGAGTCATCTCTTGAACCCAATATGGGACAAGGAGCAACATAGAGGGAGCCACTATTTGAATATATAGAGACCACCTCTACAATCTTACATATCTAGTGGATATTTCAAGGCTTAGAGCATTGATGAGGAAGTCAATTATTTAAAGAGGGTATGGGTGAGGGCGGAGGGATTGTGAAACCTCTTAAGTAGAATGAAACTAAACTCTTAAATATTTGGGCTCATTTTAGAGTGACAACAGAGTTTTTATAGAAACTCCAAAGCTAAGAATGCTTGCATGTGAGCACTCTCGGGATGGTTGATCTCCTAGTATGTTAGACCATTGAGTAAAAATAGTGAGGGCATTAGGCCAAAGAGGATAGTGCCTTGATTGGTGAGAGTTTGAGCAATTATAAATTTGGTGTTGGGAAAACTAGCTCCCATGTTCCTGATGTTGAAGTGCAGGAAATTCTTGAGATTTAACATGTCTACAGTGAGAATGCAGTGAGAATGTTTAAATGCTTGGTTTTAGCAAGTTGGTTTAGTGTTCTTGGCAACTTGATGGGCAAGATTAAAGATTTGTTTGGGCTTCAGGTTTCATGTTTGAAGTCTAGTGACCATGAGATGGCATTATGGAAGAGATGAAATGATTTTTTATTTTTTAATACTTTAGGAGAGTGAAATTTATCGATGAAACTACAATAATGTGGTAGAGTAACAATTAGTAGGATCACCTTATCTGTATCAGAGTAAAAATTGAGACCTAGAACATATAAATAGGGATCAATATCATGAATAAGACACTTTTTTTTGTCTACTAGTGCTCTCTCTCTCCCTCCCTCCCTCCCCACCCCCCACTAATTACCTCATAGTAGAACGTTTCATTCATTGGGTGTGTTTCACGGACTCTTTTGGATTCAACAGTGTCAAAGAAGTGCCAACAAAAATAACTCCCAAGAGTAAAGTTGTCTTTTTATATTTATCCTTCTATAATCTATAAATAGAAGGACATTTTATATATAGAAGGACTCATTCCATTTTGGCTCTACCCTTCTCCTCTAAACAAATATATTTAATAAATGAAATGGGTTCAAACACCCAGGGAACACCCCCACTTTGCCTCGCTGGGGGCAGCCTTAACATCACCATCTCTCTCTCTCTCTTCCCTCACATTCAATGTCTTGGGCATGTCATATTCGGATTCAAAATCATGCATAAGATTAATTATAACACTAGTGTTATAATTAATACATAAGAGTTGTGTGGTAATATGTAAATTTTTCTTGTTATTTCTAAATAATAATAAAAAAATTCTTGTAGCCTTCATAATTAAAGTATATCTTATTGTAAAAAGTGTTTTCCCACGTGTTATAAAGTTTTGGAAAACTAATCAAAATAAGTTATGGCCATGTAGGTATCATGTGCTAGTTATTTGAAAGATAAAGCTAAGAAAAAAAAAAACCTAGCAAAATGACAAAAAGCCTAAATCAATGTTCTCTATGGGGTTGTTTAGATGTCTTTTGTTGTTATTTTATTTTATTTATATTTTTTTATCTTAAATAAAACATTACAGTTTTAATTATACACAATGAAATGAAATTATATTCTTTTTAAAATATTAAATCAATCAATTTAGATTATGGTGGTTGTTGACAAAGCTATGTTAATGACCTGCAAGATAATGACAACTGTGGCAACGATTATCTATTGATCAAGGTGATTAGTGGTGATGATAAGCTAATTAATGATAGACAACTTAATTATTTTTAAAATTAAGTTAATTAAATTAAATAAAAATACACAAACATGTAATAAAAATACCAAGCCAATATATTTCTAAATAAAATAAATAATTTGAATACGAACAAATAATTTTAATCCGAACTATTTCGAGCAACGATATTTTTTGACAAACTTAATCAGAATTCTCCCCAAAAAAATAAATAAGCTAAACATGTAATACATGAGAGACAAGTAAAGTTAGCAATACAAAAGGCAACACAAGAAGAGAAAAAAAAAAAAAAAAAGAAAGAAGGCAATTACTTAGAAAGCAAACCAAAACATTTTTATTTACAAATCAACCACCCTCTTTCATTCATGTTTCAAATTCTCACTCAAATATTAAAATTTATATTAAAATCTCAACTCATATATTTTATATTTATCAAATTCTCAATGATCTGATCATGTTTTGTGTAAATGCATCAGTTTAATAGTTCAAAAAACCTCCTGAGCGTTCAATTTATATCATCATCAAGAACACTCTATACATAATTACTCTTAAAAAAAAAGAAACAATAAATTAGAATAACAAAGTCTAATATTGAATTCAAAATAAATAACAAACATAATAAAAACTATATTGAAATTTTATTTAGGAGATAAGAATATTTGTTCAATATAGAAGTTTGATAAAAAATGCATGAGAAATAGAAAAAGGAAAATAATAATAATTACGTGTTGCAAGGGTCGCGCATGTAATAGTCTTATTCTGCGGATGGAGTGCATTGGCAAGTCACCTATGCGGTGATTGCTCATCTGCCAATCGGTTGCTTCGTCAAATTTAACATTATGAACTAATTTATATATGATATATCTTGGTCATCTAGGACTTTATTTTTTAGGAAAATTTACATACATGCCCCTCAATTCTTTTGTATTTACGCATTTACATCTGAACTTCAATTTTTACACGCATGATTTCCTTAAAAAGTAAAAGAAAACCCTTACTTTTAAAGTGATAGAAAAGATTTGAATGATATAGGTGTGATAAATAAAGTTTAGATGTTAGATTTATAATTAAATTAGTTTGTAAATTATCATTCAGTTATCTTATTTTAATCCTGCAAAAGAAAAGTTTAAAGTCTTTAAATTTGCATCTTCATCCTTACAAACATTATGAACACAGGATGGAGGGAGAACTTCGCGGCTTCCCGGAGCTCTGGTATTCATGGCGCCACCAGATCCTCTCCCTTGCCGCTAGCGGTTACCGTGCCGTCGCTCCCGACCTCCGCGGTTACGGCGACACCGAAGCGCCGACCGATGTCGCCGAATACTCTATCTTCCATCTCGTGGGCGATGTTGTCGCTCTCATCAACTCTCTCGGCCAGGAACAGGTATATCAGAGCCCACTCTGTCCTCCCTCTAAAAATTTAATTTTTTTTTTATTAATGAGAAAAAATCAATGAAGGTTTTTGTGGTTGGGCACGATTGGGGAGCGATTGTAGCGTGGAATCTGTGCGTTTTCAGGCCGGATAAAGTGAAGGCTTTAGTCAACCTGAGCGTGGCGTTCCTGCCCAGGAACCAGGCTCTGTGGCGGGTTGATAACTTGAGGAAGATCTATGGGGATGATTTCTATGTTTCCAGATTCCAGGTGACCTCTTCGCTCTATTTGTTCCTGTTTGTTTTGAAGTTTTTATTGCTGTTCTGTC